ATGTCTGCCCCCCCGCCCCCCCCCCCCGTTGATGTTGCCCAACAACTAAAAGCCACAGGCCATTTAGCCGAGGTTAGAGAGGAGGGAGACTGAGAGGGGTGAGGCAGAGAGGGGTGAGACAGAGAGGGGGGAGACAGAGAGGGGTGAGACTGAGAGGGGTGAGACTGAGAGGGGTGAGGCAGAGAGGGGTGAGACTGAGAGGGGTGAGGCAGAGAGGGGTGAGACAGAGAGGGGTGAGACAGAGAGGGGTGAGACAGAGATGACGACAGAAGGAAATCAAAGGAAGGAAGGAGACGCAGATGAAAGAGAGAGTGAGCAGAAAATAAAACAAAAGGTCAGAGCAGCAGAGGACCAGGACCAGGTGACAGACCAGGTGACAGACCAGGTGACAGACCAGGTGACAGACCAGGTCTGTGTTTCCTAACTTCATGAAGTCATGACACTTTTAGAAACGAGGTGTATTTCTTGTTTTTCTTGTAAACTTATTTTTCCCCAAACTGGAAGTTCCAGTCGTTTTAAAACGACTCTTCAGTTTCTGCAGCTTCAGCAGTTTTTATTCCTCGTCAACTTCCCATAATTCCCTGAAGTTAAAAAAACAAACTTACTGTCGTTTTCCTCCACGTTCTTCTACACTGTAGTACCAGGTGTGTATTTCTGTGTACTGACTCTAACACTGTAGTACCAGGTGTGTATTTGTGTGTACTGACTCTAACACTGTAGTACCAGGTGTGTATTTGTGTGTACTGACTCTAACACTGTAGTACCAGGTGTGTATTTGTGTGTACTGACACTAACACTGTAGTACCAGGTGTGTATTTGTGTGTACTGACTCTAACACTGTAGTACCAGGTATGTATTTGTGTGTACTGACTCTAACTCTGTGGTACCAGGTAAACCCGACCTGTGTGGGATGGAGCTCCGGGTGGAGGAGCTGTGGCACCACTACCGTGTGGAGCACGCCATGGCTGAGGGCGCCAAGAACATGCTGAGGCTCCTGGGAGCGGGAAAGGTCCAGGACAAGAAGGCCATGGCCGAGGTCAGAGCCCAGACAGGAAGTACCTCCCTGACCTCCCTGACCTCCCTGACCTCCCTGACCCACAGATACTGACTGACGTTTCTCCTCAGGCTCAGTGTGGTCTGAGTGAGTCGTCGCAGCGTCTGGACCTGCTCAGATGTTCTCTGGAGCAGAGGCTCCTGGAGCTGCCGGAGGACCACCCCAAAGCCTGCCTCATCAAGGAGGAGCTGGCGCTGGCCTCCTCCTCGGCCTTCAGCTCCCGCCACAGCACCCCCTATGTCCACAATCAGTACAGCACGCTGAGCAAACCCTCACCGCTCACAGGTCGGTGCAGTTATCAACACACACACACACACACACACACACACACACGCTCTGACCTGCGACTGTGATGAAGGTGTGTCCTCTTCGTCAGGCTCTCTCCAGGTGCGTCTCCTGGGCTGTGTGGGTCTGCTGGAGGTGATTCCAGGCCGGAGCAGAGCGACGCCCGTGGTTCTTCCCTCCCACTCCCCGGGCGACGGACGCTCGTCCTTCAAACTGAGCGGCCTGTACAGTCGCAGCACCAGCAGCATGAGCCTGAAGATCCCTGGGAAAACGGACGAGCTCTCCGGTGAAAAAACAAAAAAAAATTAAACAATGGGTCAAAGGTCAACATCACCCTCAACTTAACAACTCTGTGTGTGTGTGTGTTACAGCGGAGGTGAGTGCGGTGCTGAAGCTGGAGAACACGGTGGTTGGACAGACGGCCTGGAGAACAGTGGGAGAACAGGCCTGGGATCAGAGCTTCACCGTGGAACTGGAGAGGGTGAGGCCTGAGTGGGCGTGTGTCAGTGGGCCTGTGTCGGTGGGCGTGTGTCAGTGGGCGTGTGTCAGTGGGCCTGTGTCGGTGGGCGTGTGTCAGTGGGCGTGTGTCAGTGGGC